TAGCCCTCAACAGCCACGCTTTAGTAGAAACGCAAACATGCAGGGTCGGGCAGCAGCAAGGAGCCTGGTGGGAGCCCAACCTTTCTTCACCTCCTGAAGGTAGGAATGATCCAGGCACAGACTGCCATTTTCTTGGTCTTGGCTAGAGGCCCTTGCAGAGGCAGAAAACACCTGGCTTAATCTTCCAGCCTGGGGCAGGGTGGGCTGGCACTTAGAGCCGAAGGCGGTGGCAGGACTTCTCACTTGTTTTTGTGAGTGTCGCAAGACTGATCTGGCAGTCCGTGATGAGAAAGAAAGAAGGAAGGTGGTAAATAAGGTGGTTCCTTGTGACAACGCTCTCTGGAGTTGATGCTTTTCTCTCGGCTTACATCCGCCCTCAGTAACAATGTGATCCCAAAGGGCTCCAGCACAGGTACAAGAAAGTGAAGGAATTAAACGATCGCTCAGGGGAAGCATGAGATCTTTTTTCTAGTGACTGCCCCCCGCCTCTGTGTCAGCAGTACCGCCCGCAACTTGACGTGTTTGTAGTTGACGGCGGTGTTTGGTTCTAGCTGTGCTCATGGCACGGACGGCAGTGGAGACATTGCGTTTCCCACCTGCTCATCACGTTGACTGGTGAGACTGTGTGTTTACGTACTGCCTGAGTGCGTGGCTGTGGCCTCTGTGTGTGAGGGCCCGAACTATTCTTTGTGAGGGTTGTATCACAGCCCAGAAGTCCAAACTAATGGGACACATAGTTTTTTCTCAGTCGAGTCTTAAAAACAACAAAAAAAGCACTGTTAACCACCTCTACCCAGTTCCCTGCTCCCTTTAGATGAAGTCAAGTTGTATTTTGGTGTTGCCTGGCACTTTAATTGCAGATGTAATTCCAGGACAAACAGATTATTTCATGTAAGCAGCTTTTATTTATGGGTAAATTGTCTAGCTGATGGTTATAAATAGAATATCTTCCACGACTTTCATGTTCCTTTTAGGAAAAAAATATTGATAGGTAGATAGATATCGAGAGATATAATGAGAGAATTCCTATACATGCAGCCCTGAGCTCGTTAAGATTCCTCAACTTAATCCTAATTTTGGAATGAAGTGCTGGACATTTGAGCCACTTTCTACTAGGCCTCTTACCTCATGGTAACTTAACTGTAAACTACCCATTCAATCACCAATTCTTTCACTCGCTCATCACACAAACGTTTGTCAAGTATCTTGCCAGTGCATCTTATATTTTGGTATTTATTGAATTACTCAGATAATTGTTAAAAATACAAGTAAATGCCTAAGTCCTATCCTAGACCTGCTGGATCTCCAAGGGGTAGGTTCCAGAAATTTGATTTTTAAAAAGCCTGTTTTACGTATGCTCCGGGAATTCAAAGATGGACAGGACAGTCCTTTCCCTTTATTAGACCATGGTACAAAAGAACAGGTAAGCTTGGGCAATAAGCCTTCACCCGAGCTTTGGAAGCAGTTATACAGGCACCCATGAGAGGGAGGAGCTGCTTCTACCAAGGGAAGGCCAGTAAGTCCGGAGTTGCACAACCAGTTAGTGTACTGCTTGCTCACCAGCAGGCTGGCCATTGGGAAATGTTCAGCCTGTGTAGAGTGTGCCTGATGCCTCCTCCAACGCCGTAGGCATAGGCCGTAGAATGAAAAACACGTCCTGTTCTATACTGTCCTGCTCTAGCGGCCATGAACGGCCAAGGAGAACGGGGATATTGGGAGGATCTGCTGGCTCATTAACACTCTCATTTCTGATGAACCTCTTGCCGGTTCCTCTTTGTCAGTGTGGCAAGGGGCAGAGACCCATAGAAAGAGAGGTAGAAATCTTGTTGGGCTTATAATCGGGAAACATGGGGTCCACATCTGACCCTGCTACTTATTAACTGGGCAGTCCACTTAGCCTGAGACTTGTTTTCTCCATCCGTAAAGGCAGGTAATAATATCTACACATTAGAGCTGTTTTGGGAATAATATAAAATAAATGGTACATGAACTACTCAGCATTGTGCTTAATGGGGGGGGGGGTGTCAGTGCTAAGAAATAGAATTTATTCTTATTAATAGTAGAAATAATAATAGGCCCTTATTGTGTGCTCAGAGCTGACTCTTCCTCGGGCCATGAAAGTCAACCTCCATGTTTATAGCAGCTTGCATCTGTTCTGCCCGCATCCCTGGTGGGCTGTGACACCCTTCTAGTTGTCCCGCCAGGGCAGTGATTCTCAATCTGAGGCCCATTCTTCGTAGCTCAAATTGGCTTGATGAAAGTCCTCAGGTCATTCGGACCCCCCTCCCTGCCCTCACCAAGGCTCTTGCTCATCACTCCTGCCCCCCGCCCCACTGAGATGTATTGCTTAGAGAACTGAGTCTTAAGCAATGTGCATATTAGCATCTCCTTAGGATGCTAATCCTAGCACCGATCTTAGCACCGACTTGATGAATCATAATTACCCCCGTGGAGCATCGATATGAGTATTTTACCTTTCCAGGCAATGTTAATATACAGTTCTGGTTAAGTACTGTCTTTGTGGATGTCTCTGCTCAACGCTGTCTCACTTGGCTAGCACAGTACTAAATCTTCTAGCAAGAAATACTGGTACCCAGCAACTTTTCAAAGCTCAGAGATATACTGACCCTGTGTGTCAAAATAAGGAGGCAGAGCTTTTGGTGCTGGTGTACATTTGGCAAGAGGAAGAAGTCTGCATATAATATAAAGGAGCTCTGTATATAACCCTGGACATGATGCACATTCAGTATTTAACAAAGGCACCGATTATTAGTATTAATAGTTGTGTATCGGTCTCACAGATCCTAGCTCCTTGAAAGGTTTGGTTCCATTTTAGGAGAAAAGACCCCGAACCCAGGAATTAAGAAACCAACTGGCTGTTTGGGAAGCATTTATAAAACGTGACAAGAGGTGTCATGCAGAGGCTAACAGCAGAGGTTTGAACTAAAAAAAAACAAAACAAAACCAAATAAAACCAAAAACGGTGGCCTCTGTTTTCATTTTGCTTTTTGCTTCTGAAATGAGAAAGGAAGAAGATGGGCAGTGACTGTCTCCCAACACTCAGTCTCTAAGTTCTGTAAACAATACAGCGAACCCCAGATTGCCACGGGCTTTGTTTCTGTTTCTCTCAGCATTCATACTTGACGTATGGGGCTCCTCGGGTGCTGTGCGAAGATGAGTATAACCACATTTCAATCTGAGCCTCGTGCAATGTTTCTGCTCCTGCCGAGAGGCTCAGAGCTGAGATCTGAGTAGATGGGAAATGTTGGACACAACAGAGGGAGGAAATTCTGCCTTCTCGGCTTTCTTCAGATTCTCCAGAAAAGGGGATTAGAGAAGCTCCTCAGAATTCAGACTGGAAGGGGAGTTCACCCCACTGCAGCAAAGATTGGGAGATAGATAAAGGTACTGCAGTCAAATGAGGTGTCTGTGATGTACTTTGAAAAGTACTTTAGACTTCGTGACTACCTATGTCAAGAGCAGCAGCATCAATAACTATCTTCCCCTGGGGTTGAAGGTGATGCTCAAGGTCCAGAATTTAGTTCCCAGTCCTGGCCAGACCTGATCCTGCATCCTGCTGGGCAGAGGGGCGATCTGTTCAATCCTTGGGACTTCCAGCTGGAGCTGACTACATAAGGTATTTGGTATAGTGGGCCTTGAAATAAGGCAACTTTTCTTTAGGTCC